AGAATAGAATAGAATAGAATAGAATAGAATAGAATAGAATAGAATAGAATAGAATAGAATAGAATAGAATAGAAAATAGAAATGAGCAGTCGCCTTCCATGTGGTTAACTACCTCTGAAAACTTGCTGGAGAGTCAAATATGGGTTGGTTTCTACCGGACAACACACAGCAACAATAATTGCACTGAAGGAGATTGCCCCTCCTTCTCCCACAGAGCAGTTGGTGGATTTGAGCCACATGCCTTCAGCCTTCACGATTGCAGTGCAGCTTCTTACCACTAGGCCACCAGAGCTAGAGGTTTGAATTCATCACGCATTATTGATCTAAAATAGAAATTGAATGCCAGTATTTTGATTAGGAATAATTACCTATAATACTCTGAACATGTTTTTCCCCAGACTTGGTGGATTCTAAATAAACTCAGTTCTTGTGCCTTGCAAAAGCTTCCTTTTCTTTGAATCTCTTTATTGCTTGCTTATCAGTTGAATGTTTCTTTTATGGATACCATTTGATAAGTCTCCATTAAACATTGATAAATGAACAGAGAGCTGGTTTCTGCTTTGTGCCTTCCTGATAAACTACTACCACCTTATGGCTAGAAAAATCCAGGGTATGGTCTGTGGTGTCAAGGGTTCCTTGTTCAGAACCACTTTCCTATTCATTAAGCTTGATTTGGCTACACAGATGAGTGAGGAGATGGGAATGAGGTATGTTGGTCTAGTCCTAAGAGAATTGGCCAGTCTTGCCATTAAAATGAGTGGATTCAGCAGCAGGAATTGAGAATCCCACTGCAGAAAAGAAGCAACAGAGAATGAAGAGTGGGAGCCCTTTGGGGCCAAAAATTCCACTGTCACTCAGACTGGGACTTAGAGGACCAGCAGCTGTAGTAGCCACAGCAGAGAATCAAAGACCTGACTTGAAGCAGAGCTGGCCTTGGGTCTGCTGCTACTCCATGGAACCAGAGCTAGGAGCCTTTGCCCAAGTTGGTTGGAGGTCTCTTGTGGAGGGAGAAACCATAATTAGCAGGACTTCTAAGAGCTTTGTCACACTGGCCTGAAGTCAAGAGGCTGATGGCTGAGGTGTATGTGAGCACATTTCTGAATACTGAGTGATTGTATCCAGCTGCCAACCTAACTTCTTATGGCCTTTTGATTTCTCATAATCAAACATTATAATCATGTGTGGGGGAAGTTAGTCCAGTCACCTCACCTGCACAGCATGACAAGTGAACTTTAATTATCTTCAATATTAATTTTCAGGAAGTGAAGGGAAAAAAATTTTAAACCCTATGAGTTAAGGAAAATAAATACAAATAAAATGCTTCTCTTGAGAGTGAATTTCGATGACTCAGAATATTCTGACTTTTGCTGTTTTATTCACCTATTTTTTTTCATTTTTTTAATCTTAATTTCTTGAAATTATTTTTTGCAGTTTATTTTATGGTCCTTTTTTTTAGTTTTGTTTATTTTTTTAATTTCTGCACGTGTTCTAGAACTTGACTCTAGAATTTTCAAAACTTAGTTCAGTGGCAAATGGAATGTGTGAACTTCCCAAACATCAGACTTCTTCCTCATTTGAATAATAATGATATTTATTGAACATGGTTGCTTTAGAATGAAATCTCTCACTTAGGAGCATTCAGCACAGAGATCTTCAGATGTGTTACACATTAAATCAGCTGGGGAGAGGACTTTAAGAAAACCCTGTTGCTTGTTTTCAAGTCACAGAGAATCTAATGTTTAAAAAAACATCAAATGTGAATGGGCTAATCTGGGATTTGTTTTTTTTTATTTGCTGCTAAATTTGATAACCATTGCTTTCACTTATTGAAGGTATATGATGACATTGTTATGTGCTGTTGAATTGACTCTTACACATAGCAACCCTTTGAACATTCTCACCATCTCCAGTATACTTGAGCCCATTGGTACAGTCACCTTGTCAGTCCATCTTGTTGAAGGTTTTCCTCTCTTCTGTTGACCTTCTGCCTTTCCAAGTATGATATCCTTCTCTTAAGAACTAACCTTTCTTTGTTACCAAGAAGCACCGTGGTGAGAACTCACTAAATGCTAACCAGAATCTCAGTGCAGTGCCAGTGATTACTGCACTTGACTGCTAACTGAACAGGAAGCTCTAGTTGTATAATGTGTAGAGAGTTGCGCTGTTAACCCAAAGGTTGCTTCTCTTGGTGGTTCGAATCCCTCAGCAACTCTTAGGGAGAATGATGGGTAGTCACCTCCTGTGCAATGGATATATATAATACATGTTGGAAGCCCTTTCAAGGACCAGCTCTGAGCTGACTCCAGTTCATGGAGAGGATGCGTGTTTCATGCCTGATGACTTAAAGGTTAGACATTAGAGTGCGCCTGGAGGCACCTCAGATAGAAAGCCTGGAATTTACTCCTAACAATCCAGTGACTGGAAATCCCATAGAACTCAATTCTCCTCTAACACACATGATATCCTGTGATAGTATTGACTCAATACCAAAACAATAACAAAACCCTCTGCTTTCCAGTCAGTAGTAACTCATAACTCATAACAGCCCTCTCTCAGGTCTATACATGTGTAAATCTGTATAGCAGGAGGCTGCCATCTTTCTCCCATGATGCAGCTGGTGGATTCCAACTGCTTAACAATCCAGCCCATTACACATAGTGCCAACAGAGCTTCTTCTATTGACTCAGTGCTGACTGGTAAATGTCATGACACTGTTGTTGATATGAGCATTGCTATGTTTTATTTTATTCAAAACTTCCAGTTAGATTTGGAAGAAGTCATTTTTGCCTTACTGGCTTTGGGTGAGGTAAAAGGTCTTGAAGAAAGGGCTTTCTAGTTCACAGTTACAAGGAAATTTAATGTTCCCATCAACTTAAAAAATGTTTCATTTGCCAAAGAACACACCATATCACACTTCCTTGAGTCTTAAAAAGATACTTCCTTCACGTTGGACCTTTTTCCTTTCCTTTGTGAAAAACAATGTGTATGAACTTTATGAACTTTGTATGTAAACCAGTATAAAATAATGTGTTGGTTTTTTTTAATA